AGGGGGTACTTGTTAATATGCAGATTGCTGGGCTATCCCAAAGAATGACTGACTGAATTAGAATTTCTAGATTCTCCCTCTCACCCAATAGTCAGTCCTTGTTCCATTGCTTGGGAACCATGATCTAGTTTATCTTCCCAGCTCCCAGGCAGAGGAAAATTGGCAGTGAAATCTTCCCAGTATGGGTACTCTTGGCAGGTTCTCATTCCTTCCCCTACATTGACAACTTTGATTCTGCTTCTAAGGAGCAGGGCTCTCACCGTAAGCTCCAAGGTGACGTTCCTCTGGATAGTTCTTCTCTTCCCAAAGCACTGGAAGTAATTCCATCTGGCACTCTCGGGATATTCATTGGGCAAAGAGAAGAAACCACTGAGTTTTGATAGCACATCTGTGCCACACATTTGGTAATGTGCTTGATGTTCTGTGTCCCCTCATCACCTCTGGTGATGATTTGATGATGAACTTGAGGCACAAGCTTTAAGGGCTAGAACTCAAGAGTTGCTAAGAAGAATGACAATATAATAAATTATCTCAATTGCAAACTCATAAGCAATGTGGAGAGATATTTAATGGCCACCAAATAACAAGGTACTCTCCCACACTTCAAAGCCCCATGCAGTTAAGTGTATTATTAAAAGTGCCTGCCTTCTCCATGTATCCTCTTTTCATCTCATGGTGATGATGGTGGCCATGTGCTGATGTGGTAGACCCATAAGGTACAACCAGCCTGGATCCCTGAATCATCTCTTTGATGATGCTACCTTGGAGATCCACCAGACCCAAAATGGCTTGGTGTGAATGGGAAATAAACTATTAAGCAGTGAACCTCTGACTTCTTAGGATTTGTTACTGCAGCACAGCCTATCCTATCCTGATCAGTGCATTATTATCCCCTTGATGCTGACTTGCTTGTGAATGGGCTTCAAGTCTTGGTGTTTGTAGGTTGCTTCTCCCCGTAAGGATTGAATGGAACAAAACTTTCTAGGAACCCTTTCAAGCTGCAGTAATGGTTTACTGAAGCAGAAAGAACATGGTTATTTTGAGCCACAGAGGGGGAAAAAAACAAAACAAACTTTGGCCTGTTGTCTTCCCCCTTAGCAAGGAATTAAAAATAGAGACATATGGATGGGGAGGGGGTAAACAAGACTGCCTGATCTGGTGTGGTTGTGTTCTTTGAAAGTATTAATTACACACTTGTGCCATCTAAAAATATTAATTTAAATGTGTATAGCTCATAAATGAGGAATCTTCTTATTTAGTTCACTGGATGACTTGGGACAAAGCTAGCTGCAAATTAATGGATTAGTAACAAGCTACTATTCATGTATATTTTCACTGACTATATCCTCAGGATTTGGGCTGCTTGGAGCCATGCTTCTTTCTGTGCAAGAAGTGATTTCCTCATTATCCATTGCTGTGGAGTTGATTCTGACTCATGGTGGCCCTGTAGGACAGAGTAGAACTGTCCCTGTAGGGTTGCCAAGACTGTAATCTTTACAGAAGCAGAATGCTACATCTTTCTCCTGTGGCTGGTGGGTTCTAACTGCTGACCTTTAGATCAGCAGAGTGTCCTCCTTAGGAGACATTAATTTCTCAGCAGAATTGTCTAATCTGATCCTTTCTTCTATTCAAATTGCCACAAATTGCCTATTTGTGAATGGATCTTTACATGATATTTTTAGAGTTGCATGTATGAGGTTTATTTGACATATGTGGTATGTGGAATCACATGTAGGTTGAATGCTCTCAAAAGTGGGTCTCTGCTCCATCATCATCCATCGAAGTAACTAAAAATTTCACTGTGAATAATGTATGTCTACATTAACTTTGCATTTGCTCTAGAAGGGATTTAACTAAATATCAACACCTTGCCTGGGGAGGGCAAAACGTTAAGCCCTCCAAACAGCATAGATTTGAAATTCGCTTTGAAAGGCCCTGTGAGAATGGAACACAAGTGTGATAAGTTTTGATGCAGGTAGACAGCAGATAGCGAGATGACCATTTGGGATGCTGTCTAGCAAAATGAGCTGGAGCAGGATGTTATAATGGAGGACCCTGGTCCCCTAAGAGCCTAGTATCTACAGGTGGACAGTGAAGGGGTTTCAGAAATGGAAGATCCCTTGTTGTTCAGAGTAAGTTGTGAGTGAGTGACTGCCTTAAGTGTGTCATCAAGATCCTATGGGGTTGATTTGTTTCACATTAAACAAGAGGTTCCTGCTTGGGTTTTTCCTCTAACTCTTCAGCTGGGGTATGTCATATTATAATAGGTCAAATGATCTGTCTGCTATCCTCCAATGTGGTGAGACTTGCGGGTGAAGGGGAGTGGAGGGAGAGAAGTGAGGCAGGCTCACAGCCAGGAAATACACATCTTAGTGTATCCTGGCCTGGGATGTAGCGTGGGAGAAGGGCAAGGTGGCCAGATCTTCCAAGTCTTCACCACTTGGGTGGTGAGAAAGGCTTAGCCCAGAGAAGCAGAATCAAGTTTATGTGGCTTTGTCTGCCCTCACCCATGCCTGACCACAGCATATGCAAGGGTTGGGGCTCCTTTTCCCTTCTCTGAGTTGACTTGGGGCCCTAACCTCAGCTTCAGCATTCAGTGCCATGTTCAAATTAAATTCTTGTGGCTTATTCTTTCCTCCCTTGAAGAGAGGGTTGATTGACATTTGGGGCTCGTCATCTCACTCTTGAAGCCTTCTTCAGTCTAAATTAAAACTACCATTACTTGTATTCCCACTGAACTTAGCAGGGCATATGCATTTCTTTTTTGGGGGAGGGGGTATTGGTGGAGGTGAAATATGGGAGAAAGATGAAAAGAATGGATTATGACTGCAAACTGCTCTATTCCTTATAACCTGTGACTGTGAGCAAGTCACTTAACCACTTTGTGTTCCCTTTCTCATCTGTCAAACCTCAGAAGACTTGTGTGAGTATTTTATGAAGCTCATTACTATACAAAATAACCAACACACACAAAAAACGCCAAACCTGTTGCCACTGAGTTGATTCTGACCACTGGAGACGCCACATGTTTCAGAGTAGAACTGTGCTTCATGGAGTTTCCTTGGCTGTAATTTTATGGAAATAAATCACCAGGCTTTTTTGAACAGCCAACCTGATGATTAGTGTTGTTTTGTTGTTAGTTGCTGTTGAGTCAGTCCCAAATCATGGTGACCCACATGTGCAGAGTAGAGCCTTTTCATCAGGTTTTCAAGGCTGTGACCTTTTGAAAGCAAATCGCCAGACCTATCTTCCAAGCCATCCCTGGGTGAATTCAAACCACCAATCTTTCAATTGTAGTCAAGAACTTATTATTTGTGCCAACACATCAAGAACTTGTTATTGTTAGGTGCCGTCAAGTTGTCTCTGACTCATAGTGATCCTATGCACAGCAGAATGAAACACTGCCTGGTCTTGTGCCAGCCTCATGATCCTTGCTATACCTGAGCCCATTGTTGTAGCCACTGTGTCTATCCATCTCATTGAAGGCCTTTCCCTTCTTAGTTGACCCTCCAGTTTACCAAGCATGATATCCTTCTCCAGGGAACGAACATGACCGAAGTAGGTGAGATGAAGTCTGGCCATTCTCGCTTCCAAGAAGCATTCTGGGTGCACTTCTTCCCAGACAGATTTGGTAGTCTTTTTAGCAGACCATGGTACATTTAGCATTCTTCTGCATCACCACAACTCAAAAGCATCAACTCTTCTTCAGTCTTTGTTATTCATTGTCCAGCTCTCACATGCATAAGTGGTGATTGAAAATACCATGGCTTGGATTAGGTGCACCTTAGTCTTCAAGAAGACATCTTTGTTCTTCATCACTTGAAAGAGGTCTTTTGCAGCAGATTTGCCTAATGCAATATGTCATCTTATGTCTTAACTGCTGCTTCCATTGGTGTTGATTGTAGAACCAAGTAACATGAAATCCTTGACAACTTCAATCTTTTCTCCATCCACCATGAAGCTGTTTATTGGACCAGTTGTGTGAATTTTTGTTTTCTTTATATTGAAGTATAATCCATACTGTAGCCTGTAGTCTTTAATCTTCATCAGTAAGAGCTTCAAGTCATCCTCACTTTCAGCAAACAAAGTGGTGTCATCTTCACATTGCAGGTGGTTAATGAGTCTTCCTCCAATCCCGATACTGCATTCTTCTTCATATAATACAGCTTCTCGGATTATTTGCTCAGCATACAAGTTGAATAAGTGTGGTGAAAGGATACAACATTGACACACTCCCTTCTTGATTTTGAACCATGCATGCCGTATCCCCTTGTTCTGTTTGAACAACAGCCTCTTGATCTATGTACAGGTTCTTCATGAATACAATCAATGTATTCATGGAATGGAATTCCCATTCTTCCTGTTCCATTCAGTGGGAATGGAATTCCCATTCTTCTCAATCTTATCCATAATTTGTTATGATCCACACACTCAAATGCTTTTGCATAGTCAATAAAACACAAGTAAACAGCTTTTTGGTATTCTTTGCTTTCAGCCAAGATCCATCTGACATCAGCAATGATATCCCTCATTCCACATCCTTTTCTGAATCCAGCTTTCATTTCTGGAAGCTCTCTGTCAATATATTGCTGCAACCATTTTTGAATTATCTTCAGTAAGATTTTACTTGCATGTGATATTAATGATATTCTTTGATAATTCCCACATCCTGTGGGATCAACTTTCTTTGGAATGAGTACAAATATGGATCTCTTCCAGTTAATTGGCCAGGTAGCTGTCTTCCAAATCTCTTTGATGACCAAGGGAGTGCCTCCAGTGCAGCATCCGTTTGTTGAAACATCTCAATGGGTATTCTGTCAATTCCCAGAGCCTTGTTTTTGCTACTTCCTTCAGTGCAGCTTTGACTTCTTCCTTCAATACCATTGGTTCTTGTTCCACATAGTTGAGTGCAAACTCTTTGTGTCACCCAGGGACCTAACCACTACATATGGGTTTGTTAGATCAATACATGAGTAAAAGAGAAGGATTCATATTGGAAGGTATGGCTGACCAGGTAGAGAGCCTCAAATACTAGAGAAAGATCATAGGTAGGCAAGAATCCTCTCTAGTGCCCTTTCCCCAAGAAGACATTTGATGTCCTCTATTCATTATTGTTCTTCTCCCTCCTCTCTCTTGATTCACTTCCTCCTCAGCTATGTACAGTATATGATTCACCTGTGCACCCCCAGTGCCCATCACAGTGCCAGGAAGACAGATGGTATGTAAATGTTATTAAACGAATGAATGGATATTGCTTAATCAAATGTCATTGCATTTTACTCAGTGTAATTCAAGAGCTGACCTTTCCTTTCCAGGTAACCAACTCTTGCATAATGGCTTGATGTCACCTAGAGATCCTTGGACTCCCCTGACTCATCCATCTGATGATGTCATCCCATCACTGACCTTCAGCCCCTGGTCTTTCTATGAGCTTCCCTCAGGGCACAGAGGGCAGGCAGTGTCCTCAGTAGGACTCCCCTAGAGTCAGGTGGTGGTGTGGGAGGTGGGGCTTAGCTGCTCAGAGTGGAGGGGCATTCTATTAGCTATTGCCTTCACTATCCTTGGTATGGTTCTAGTTCTCCTCTTTGTCCTCCTGAGGCCAGTAGGAGTAGTAGCAATGACCACCATTATCATCACTCTCTTCATCATTGTCATCATCATAGTAACTAGCACTTAAGGTATTTCCTTGTTACTAGGTATTGTTTTAAATGCTTTACTGGCATTGAACATTATCAGTGTCTTGCCCATGGCAAAATCTAGAGGTCATCTGAATATGGGTTCCATCCACACAGATTGCTTTCTGTATCTTCTGCCCTCTGTGAGGGGTAGTCCTTAAATACTAGGGAGTTAACCCCCCCACTAGTGACTCTCTACTAGTGATGAATAGGTTGATGGGATAGATAACCCAACTTCCTCACCTCTCAGTAGGTGTAATGCACACCATCTCTCAGCACTCCCAGTGGGAATGAGACCCAGTTGTCCACAGTGGAAGTAAGTCACTCATTAATGGTCTTTGTTTCCTCCTTTCCTTGTTTCACTTCCCTATTCCTTCACTGTGTTGCCTGGAATCATATCCCAAATCAAATGATCCTGTCCTTCAGGTCTGCTTTAAGGAGGAACCCAGGCAAAGGTTGGTCCAATCATCCTCATTTTGTAGATGCATCAGAACTTGTCAAGTTGACCTGCTGGTCAGTGGTGTAGCCAGACTGAAGTGTTCTGGGTCCAGAGCCTCACCATGCAGGTCCATCCTTACCCACTAATCATGATTTTTAAGTCAGGAGCTGCAGGTTGTTTGCTGGAAGTCTTGCTGGTGCCTCACAGACACACTGCAATTGCCCAGACATCCTATGCTGGATATCCTTGGGAAAAATATGGGCAGGAAAATTCTGCTGGTCCAGGCAGAATCTCCACACACTTTTTTTTTTTTGGTCAAGTTGCTGCCAAACCCTCTGCCCGCTTAGTATTTGTTGGCAAGTCACAGTAAAAACATTCCTGAATTAAAGGCATAGTGAAATGACACTTGAATTCTCTGGGGAACATTACTGCTGTGATGGATAAACATGTTAATTACTCAGAATTTAACCTCCAGCTGCTGCCTTTGCAGCGCCTTATCCTCTCAGCCTGAGACCTGGAGGCCTTGGCCTGGGGACTCTTTTGGGGCTCTCTCTGGCCAGGGAGTGGCCCTTACCCTTGGGTAAGTGTTCCAGGTTGTTGTACTCCACACAGAGTGTCCTGCAAATTCTTCAGAGGGTTAAGTCGAGTCATAAAGAACAGGACTCTGATGTTAGATGGTTTGGGTTCAAATACTAGACTTACCATTGAAAATGTAATTTAACTTTCGATGCTTTGCTATTTCTGTCTGTAAAATGGAGATAATAGTGCTTGCCTTGTAGGGTTATAGTGAAGATGGCAAATATTTAATATCTGTGAAGAACTTAGAAGTGACTTCTTTGTTAAGGATGTGTTTGCTGGCATTACTACTACATGCCCTATGTATGTGGCCACCTTCGTGCCCCACCCCCTTCCCCCATAGGATTTACTGGGTTCTGTTTTCTTTGCTGCCTTGCTCCTTGCTCTCTTAGCTTTGCAACTCACTTTTTCCTGAGCCTTGTTTCACCACTGCCAAAGGAGAGCAGAGTGAGGCAACTTTGTAAAGTCTTCTAGGCCTTGGGATAGAGACTGCCCATTAATTCACTTATTTATCAGACATTTAAAGTTGCCTAGTTGGTGCCAAGGAGCTTCAGTGGTGCAATGAGCAAAGCACTTGGCTTCTAACCAGGTCAGTGGTTCAAACCTACCAGCTGCTCCATAGGAGGAAGATGGGACGATATACTTCTTTAAAGATTTACAGCCTTAGAAACCCAATGGGGGTTGCCATGAATTGGTATCAATTTGATGGCAGTGAATTTTTTTTTTTTTAATTTTGTGATTTGTGTGAAAGTATACAGAGCAAATTCATCTTCCATACAGCAGTTCACATACACTTTACTTTGTCTCATGACCTTGACTATAATCTCCCACAGTGCAACAGCTCTCCTCCCACTTCCTCCCCATAGCCATCTTTTCCCTGTGTTCTTCTCTCCGCCTGCACTCTTCCCACCCCGAGCCATCTCCCTGTGTATACACAGCCCTTCTATTTTCCCACAATTGATCTCTCCAAGGAGTGTATCTACCTAATGTAAATGTTCAGCTCATATGCCTGTCTTTTGTTTGGCTGGAAGCCACAGTTGTTGTTGTTATTTGCCGATGAGTCGCCCCCGACTCATAGCGACCCCTCCTTGGGTTTCTGAGGCAGTATCACTACAGAAGTAGGATTGCCCAACCTTCCTTTTGAGGAGTGGATGGTGGGTTTGAACCGCCAGCCTTCTGGTTAGCAGTCAAGTGCCATAGGCACTATGCTACCAGAGCTCCTGGAAGCCACAGGAGGGGTTTCAATTCCAAACCTGAAGGGCAGCCAGGGGCCATAGTCTCAGGGGTTCTACCACGTTCTATCAGACCAGCAAACCTGGTCCCCCCCCTTTTTTATGATTTTTGAGTTTTGTTCCACATTGTTCTCCCACTCCATCCAAGATCTCCAACATAGATCCCCCTCCGAGTGGTAGCTGGGTACCATCTAGTTCTGGTCTTAGAGTCGTATAGGCTGAGGATTGCATGGTGTACCACTTGCTTGGACTAATCGTTTCCATGCATCTTCGGTTTTCTTCCTCCTTCTTTGTTCTGGATGAGGATAAGACCCATTGTTGCATCCAGATGGCTGCTTGCAAGCTTTTAAGATCCCAGTCACTACTCACCAAAGTAGGAGGTAGAACAGTGTTTTTGTGTAGTATGTTATGCCAGTTGAGCTTGCTGTCCCCTACATCCGTGGTCCCGAGCTGCTCACTCCCTCTGGGTAGCTGGGTGTGCCCAAGAAGTGACTACCATTTTGTCCCTTGTCTGCTCTACTATATACCTAGAAGTTCTTACACAACATACAAGTACTCTTGTAGAAACATTGTTTGCCAACCCTATACATGGTAAAATGGGCATACTCCCCCATGCATAGACATACCTACTAGTTCAGCCTGTCCACCCATCTATCCACCCATCTATCCACCCATAGACCAGTGTTTGCTATCAGGCAGTGAGTGTTTGAGTGAGTTGGTGCCAGGCCCTATGCCAAGAGCTAGGACTATAATTTCCAGCAAGATGTGGCCCATGACCACAAGCAGCTTTCATATGGGAAGGTAGAATGGCAGGTAAACCATCTCCTACAACATGGAACAGAGGGGCTAGTGGTTCAGTTCCTTTCTGGCATGTCTTCTACGAGAAGCAGGGCAGTCTGTGGCAAGACAAGATTCTGAATCCACCAGACACAGATTCCAGTACTGGCTAAACATCTCACTGTGTGACCTGAAGTAACACATTTCACCTCTCCATGCTTCAATTCCCAACTCTGTGAAATGGGAATAATAATAGTGCTTTACTGATTAGGATTGTTGTGAAAATTGAAAGTGAAAATACAGGTAAAATCCTAAGCTCAGTCTGTCAGCTATTGTTTTGCTAAATGTCAGTTATTATAATGATGTTGATATTGCTGATAATTTAACCTTATTGAGTTTATGAGATATAAATTATTTGATTGGTATAAAAGAGCACTTTCTGGACACAAAACATTAATAGGTGACATTTGTTGTTGTTGGCTGCCGCTGAGTCAGCCCCAACTCCTGGGGACCCCAGGCATGACAGAAGGAAATGCTGCCTGGTTCTGTGCCATCTGAGGATCGGTTGTGGAATCAGACTGTTGTGATCCATAGGGTTTTCAGTGGCTGATTTTCAGAAATAGATCACCAGGCCTTTCTTCTTGATCCTTCTTAGTCTGGAAGTTCCACTGATACCCGTTGAGCATGGTAGCAACATTCAAGTTCCATTGACACATGGGTGGTGCCTGTGCATGAGGTACATTGGCCAGGAATCGAACTCAGGTCTCTTGCATGGAAGGTTAGAATTCTTCCAGTGAACCACCCCTGCCTCATGGGTGGCATTGACTCATGTTTTTGTTTTTTTTCCTGTGTGTGTGTGTATGTGTGTGTGTAAATGTCCATTCTCCTTTGCCTCTTGTGTCACCTGGAGGACCAAGGTAATCCTTCGTTAGAAATCTGGACTCAGTGTTCCCCAACGAGCTCAACAAAGCACTCCCAGCCTTCATGTTGCCTTCCACAGCAGCATGATGTGAACTTGTGGGCCCTGCAAGCTGGGCATGGCTCACTGCTGATGGGATCATTAAGAATGCCAGCCAGATATGATCTCCACATTCAGAGGTTTATTAATATCACCTTGAATTTATCTTCTTTGATGGGGAAATTTTGCCAGCATCTGATAAAAGCAAAATGCACAGTGCCAATAAGAGTTCCTTCCCTGTCATCATCAGCTGTTAGCAGAAATCTAATGCAGAAATCTACCACGGGCTAACGAAAATACTAGAAAAATGGATTTGGTATGTTTCCTGTAGAATTTTGACTTTTAATCTCCTCTTGAGATCCCCCTTCTCCAAACTTAGCTTTGAAAATAGGCTTCAGTACTGTATCTCTCTCTGAGGATGTGAATTCTCTTCCCCTACCCTATTCTCTAATATCCATCTGAATAGAATGCTCCCAATGAAACTGCACTTGTCCCTTCTAAACACTTCAATGAATCCCGCTTATCTTCCCGTCTAGATGCAACCACAAAAGAATATCAATGAGAAGCGTGAATGGAGCTGGCTGCAAATGAGACAGTGGGGTTTCAGCAAGAACACTCCCAGGTGGAGCTGTTGCAAAGTGGGTCCCTTGGACTCCATTAGCTTGGTCGGAAACAAGGGTGGGGGGACTTCAGTGGCCAGGCATGAGGATCCTCCAGATGGAGGAACTGGGCCATGTTGCCAGGGTGGTCTTGAGTTGCTGTGCTGGAGACTTGGTCATGGAAGCCTGAGCAATAAAGGGTGTCTGGGGGAGGTGGTACTGGTATATGGTTGTGAGTGGCAATGTGAAGGAGCAAGAAGAGTTGGGAATTTCTAGCTCTGATGGACCCTCAGTCCATGTCTTAGTTTCCTAGGGCTGT